CGGGTCAGGAGAAGTCTGCCTCGCCATGTGGATCTCCTCCGGGGCAGGCGGGGAATCGAACTCATGCGGAGGTGGCTTAGGCTTCTTTGTGCTGTGCTTTAACCCGCTGCGCCACCAGGGAAGGCCCTGTTTTTTTTTTTTTTTTTTTAACAGGGAAAAATAACACAAAGGGCAGGAAAAATTCTAACAATTTCATTTGAACATCATCAGGGCTGCATGACCCAAGAAAAAGTGGGAACACTGTGATATGAGGCCCTTGTAATGCAGACTGTATTAGATGGGGGCACACAGACAACCAGGTGCTGGGAACTGAAGGGGCCTTTTTTCAGAGAATAGGACTCTGGGGAGTAGAGATCTACAGCCTAGCACTGGGGGGACAGGTAGACACTGGCAAGCGTGGGTGCCAAAGATAAGGCTTCAACCAAGAAGATATGGCCAGATGAAACCACCACCACCTCTGCTAAGGGGGATCAGAGGTGATGGACAGTCCTTAATATTAGGAGCAGCCTTCCCCAAAGTAGTGAAAATCATCTTGGGCCTACCACACCTAGATGTAGGTAGGTGAAGTCTGAACCTTTGGGAAGACTCAGATAGTGGAAAATTGTTAGGAACAAATGAGGTCTACTGGCACTCCCTCACCTGATTGGCTCCTCTCTACAACTGGTTCCTGTATTGTGTGAAATACCTTCCCACATCACTGGGGTCCATGACTAATATTACTTTCAACCCTGGTCTTTACTGCTTCTAGTTGGAATTTAAAACACCATAGTCCTGGCAGCTAGAGCTTGTGCACAAGGAAAAGTTCTGTTCCTGGAAGTTGCTAGGAATAAACCCAGCTGAAGATCCCTCCTTGGGTCACAATCTCAAGAATGTACTGAGAGGTCTGCAAGGGAAGCAATTTGATGGTGCCCACAGAGCCTGTGAAACAGCTTGCCACTCTCCTACCTGTAATGGCTAATGAAAGTGACTTATCAGCAGTTCAAACTGCAGTTTCCAGATTACTCTGCTCCTGCCTGAACCCCTGGGGAGCATACTATTTGCAGAACCTCAGGCCAGAGCTGGAATGCAGCTGAGGGATCAGTGTTATTATCCCTTACAGTAGCAAAACTCTGATTGAAAAACTGGCCTAAGGATAGTAGCTGCACACCTCCTCCCTCAGGGGGAGCAGTTATAGCCCATATAGAGGCTTGAACTCTCCTACAAGTCTAGCAACAGCCTCTTCACCTCCTGTTCCCTAGCTCCTACCTTGGGTCAGCACTAGGGCTCCACACATCTGAGTAGGTGGAGATATCTGTCCTGGGCAAAGGACCTAGGGTTATATGCTGCAACCTATGGTCTGAACATACGGGCAACAAATCAAGTTAAAGAAGTTGATTGGCTCAAGCCACAGAAATAATATATATAGTTTTAAACAAAAAGTGAAAGAAGAATATACCAAAACAAAACCCAACCCTGGGGAAAAAATATAAAACCGACAGACTAGTTAACTGAAGAAGGAATATAAACAAGTTCTAATAATGCTTACTGAAATAAGGAAAACCACTGATGAATAAAATAAGAATACAAGAGAAAGTTACAAACAAATAAAATAATGGCTATTTCAGTATTTACATTTTAGTAAATTCACCAGTTTTGACTACGTATTTATGTTTCTGTATAAATATGCATACATACTTACACTTTTTTGCTGTCCAGCAGCAAAGAAAATTAGCTCTTAAAATTTTAATGGTATTTTCTGTGTATATTTTCCCATAGAATCATAAGTTATTTATCTATTATTTCCTATGTAGTGAGATGTATTGTTAACAGAACATGTTTTGTTGTGGGCAAAAATAACCTATGTTCCAATATTGAAAAATGCAAAATATTTAACTCGTAACTATATTATGTTAACTACCCAACTAAAAATGAAATACCATCTGGGCATACCTGTATTTTGGTAAAAGCTTTTAAAAATTTCAATTAAATCACCGTTTTATTAAAATCTTCTATGAGATAGTTACTGGGCTATCCTATGGTAGATGCTAAGAAAGAAGGACCTCTACACAGTCAACCTTGTCTAGCAGGGAAGAAGTGTATGATCTGTTATCAAATAACTAAGAGTTAAAGAACAGGGTGCACAGGTACTAAAGTAGATTTTGGAAAGGCCATAACAGCTATAGAAATTCAGAGAACTATCAGAATATTAAGTTGTACATAAACAAGAGGAGGCAATTTGCCAATTAATATACGTCTGTCAATGGGTGGTTAATATCTCTGCTTTTTGGGTCTATGTTAATAAAACACTTAGTGTATAGCAACAACAAATGTTGGCAAGGATGTAGAGAAAAAGGAACTCTCCTGCACTGCTGGTAGAATGCAAACTAGTACAACCACTATGGAAAACTGTTTGGAGGTTTCTCAAACTGCTAAAAATGGAGCTTCCATATGACCCAACAACCCCACTCCTAGGTGTCTACCTGAAAGATACAAAAACACTGATTAAAAAAGACACCTGCACCCCCATGTTTATTGCTGCTTCATTTACAATAGGAAAGACATGGAATCAACCCAAATGCCCAAAAGTAGATGATTGGATTAAAAAAATGTGGTACACATACACAATGGAGTATTATTTAACAATCAAAAAAGATAAACACATGCCTTTTGCAGCAACATGGATGGAGCTGGAAGGGATCATGCTAAGTGAAATAAGCCAGAAAGAAAAGGAAAAATACTGGATGGTTTCACTCATAGCAGGAGTATAAAGAACCAGGGGACAAAGTGATAATAATAATGAACAACTATATACCAGAGACATTTCACAGGGGTGGAGTGGGGAATGGGATCAAAAATGGGCGGAGGGGGGGTAGAAGTGAACTGGACTAAGGTGATGGCACATCGGTGATTTGGTGATGGCACATGGGTGATTTGGTAGGCCCATGGGGATTACAACTGAGATGGAAAAAGGCACAAAATGATGTAAAAATAAACTATTATTTAAAAAAAAAAAACCATCTAGTGCAATCTACACAGATAGGCTTGAATGGAGTTTTAAAGGAAAAAACTTGTTAGTGATTAATGATTTTGCTGAGAGGAATAATCATAGATGAGGACAAGTATTGGAGATACAAATCTTTAAAAAAATTAGTATATAAAAGTATTGGAGATACAAATCTTTAAAAAAATTAGTATATAAAATGAGAAAAAAGTCAACTGGTAGTAGTCTTACATAATTTTCTGTCAACTTTGCAAACAAAATTTTCTGAAAAAACAAACTATTTCCCCCCTGCATGACAAAGCAATTTTTCATTTAGCATTTTTTTTTTTTCTCTACACATTGGTTTAGTAAATTATAATCCAAGGGAATTAAGCCTTCAATAGTGGAAAGGTTCTTCAGGAAAATTTGAGAGTCAAAGAAAAAATCAATTACTGCATGCTATTTGTTTAAGAGGAGGACAAATAGGCTAATTTCACTCCATCAAGGCAACAATAGGATCTATTAAAAGAAACAAGGAAGAGGGGAGAAAAAAAACAATTTTGTAGTCTGGGAAGTGAATACTCTGCACCTTGTGGCAGCTGTCTGGATATTCTGTCCTTTAGTAGTACAAAGACATATCTTAATTGTTTATGAATTCTCTGGAAAACCTTCCTAAGCTAAGTTACAAAGCTTCAGGACAGGTTGTTGTTCTGTAATGCTGCAGCACCTTCCCATCAGTACCTCACTCAGCCCTCACTACTTCCCTCCTAGGAGTCTCAATCTATTGTATGTGCTGTTTTGTTTTTTTTCCCTAAATTCTTTTTACTTAATTCATCTCGTTAGATATTCTTTTGACTTATTTGAAAGTGATTATAATCTGCTCTGGAATGGAATTTCTGATACAAGGAGTTGCAGTCAGAATTGTTTTTCTAATATTCACCTAAGAAATTAAACATAAATATGCAAAATAAAATTTTCCTTTGTGCTTGCACTTGTCTAAAGATTAACACCAGTATATTCCTATTTCAGCATAGTGACATCACTATTAAATGAATTGTATAAGCTGTCCTGAATAAAAAAGTATTTTAACATTAACATTTTAAATAATACGAAAAATACCTTAACTAATCCTTTAGTCGACTGCAGTTGACTGATGCTTCAACCCTTCAATCAATTATCACAGGAGCAAATTCTGGCTGGCTTCATGCCCACAATTATAAAGCAGAAATTTTTTAGATTAAGATTATAAAACAAGTTAATTTATAATTACGTGCAGTATATGATGCACGTAATTTTAAAATCTCTTGAAATTACGTCTTCCAGTAAGGGTTACAAGGTAAATTTGCACGCGCATGCGTGTGTGTGTGTGTGTGTGTGTGTGTGTGGTCGGGTGGGTAAGACGGTCACATTTAAGTAGGAAAAATACATTTCACTACTTAAGTGTAGCGAAATATTTCTACATCTATGTTGAGCCAAATATATAAACTTTTAAATCTGTGAGGCAGATTAAAGAAATGCTTCATTATATATTGTTAAGATGAGATACGTTTACCTTGCAGGTGCTCGTTTTAAAAATGGCACATTTAAAAAAGCAACACTTAATTTTTTCTTAAAAATTAAGCTCTGCTCCTCCAGATATTTGGGAATAGCTATGAATCCATACATAAAGAAAGACCTGAATCCCTCTGCTACACGTGAAGTTCTATGAGCCAACTGATATACACGAATAATAACCTTTCTTATCTTTTTGGGGCAAACTCAGTTTATGCCTCTTAGAAACTCACTTAGTACCCTTAAAATTCACATTAACACAGTTCTCACATGCTTGCGTGCGGTCTGCATCCAGGAATGAAAACAAATCTTTCCAGAACGACGAAATTCACAAGACCTCGAAGCACAAAGACAAAGGAACAGCTCTGGCGGTCGACTGTAATCGCGAGACTCAGCGACTTCTCGCGTGGGGATAAGGCACCACCTCGGTGACGTCACTGGTTGCTATGGCAGCGTCCGCCAGGAGAGGGAAATAGGGGTGGTGCGAGGGGCGGAGCGCAGTTTCTGCAGAGGACAAGAGACGCTCTCTCTGCAGGTCTGACTTCTCCCAAAATGAGCGGCGATGGGGATGAAGATAACTGCGTCCCTGACCTGAAAGCCTGCGGGCAGATTACTCCAGAGCATGCCCCGGGATATGCAGACCTAAACCAGTGCCAGGGCGAGGAAACCGAGGTGACACAAGAGATGGCGGACACAGGTGAGGGCACTTTGGGGACCACCGCGGAGGGAGGCGCACCCAGGGACCCCGCCAGTGGTGGCCCCGTGCTCCGCATCCGAGTTGCTGGGATTCGCGGCCGTGCAGCCAGCAAAGCGGTGCAGAAAGAGGCTCCACCTCCCACCGAGGGCCTGGAGGTAGCCTCTGCCGCCGCCTCGGTGGTCACTGACAATAGTCAGGAAAATGGCTGTCAGCGTAGAGAGCCTCGCTGCCCTGCTGGGGAGAAAGCGCTAGAAGCCTGTGGCGCTGGGGGCTTGGGGTCTCATTTGATGCCTAGGGCGAAGTCCAAGGAAATGACTACAAAAAAGTGCGCAGTCTCAGCAGCACTGGAAAAGGAGGGAGGAGCTGAGGAGGTGGTGGAGGGAAAGAAGATGATACAGAAGGAAAAGAAGGTGATAGGAGGATTGAAAGAGGAGTCTCGGGCTAGGGCCCCGAAGATCAATAACTGCATGGACTCACTAGAGGCCATCGATCAGGAGCTGTCAAACGTGAATGCCCAGGCTGACAGGGCTTTTCTTCAGTTGGAGCGTAAGTTTGGCCGCATGAGAAGGCTCCATATGCAGCGCAGAAGTTTCATTATCCAAAACATCCCCGGTTTCTGGGTCACTGCCTTTCGGAACCACCCCCAGCTGTCACCAATGATCAGTGGCCAAGATGAAGACATGATGAGGTACATGATCAATTTGGAGGTGGAGGAGCTTAAACACCCCAGAGCAGGCTGCAAGTTCAAGTTCATCTTTCAGAGCAATCCCTATTTCCGAAATGAGGGGCTCGTCAAGGAATATGAGCGCAGGTCCTCCGGTAGGGTAGTGTCTCTTTCCACTCCAATACGTTGGCACCGGGGCCAAGACCCCCAGGCCCATATCCACAGGAATCGGGAAGGAAACACTATCCCCAGTTTCTTCAACTGGTTCTCAGACCACAGCCTTCTAGAATTCGACAGGATTGCTGAGATTATCAAAGCAGAACTGTGGCCCAATCCTCTGCAATACTACCTGATGGGTGAAGGTCCTCGAAGAGGAATACGAGATCCAGCAAGGCAGCCAGTGGAGAGCCCCAGATCCTTCAGGTTCCAGTCTGGTTAACTGCTGCCTCTGTGTGAAGGTTCTGCACAAGTTTCCTTACCACCTCCTCTTGGACCCATGCTTGGCCAACAGCATGCAGTCTTCATCTGCTTTCTCTTGGCACTGCATTGTTTTGTACTTTGGTTCTTCAAGTCTTCTCAATCTTCAACAGTCATTTGCTAGATTATCCTTTATATGCCAGTCTCTTCTTCCTCTGGGCCTTCATTCTGCTCTGCATTGTATTACGTGTACCAAATGCATGGCCTTCCACTGCTTCTAAGCCAAGCCCATGATCCTGTAGATATGCACCGCCTTCCTTTGCATGCCTGGGATTCTATCTGTGACTGTGGTCTTCTCTCCGTTCTTTAAGTGGTTATCTACCAAAAGAAGCTTATACATCTTTGCAAATGACTAACTGGGCTTCATACTTTATTCTGGCTGTGATCTTGGTGCCCAGGTATTCTATGGCAATCTCTTTGAATTTCATCGCTGCAAGATGAGGCTGATGTATAGATGATGCCAGCTATCAACCCAAATCGGACATTTCCAGGCTACCATAACTGTGTTCCAACTGCCTTTCTGGGCCCCTCTGGTTATTGGCAGAATAAACAGATGGCTGGTGGGTGGTTGCTGGGTGTGAATGAAGTAACAGATGAGAGGTTACCTATGTTCTTTGTCAGTACAATGGCCTGTTTCTTTGGTCACTCTGCATCATGACCAGATATTGGTGAGTATTAAGGCCTGTTCTGTGGCCCACCCAACCTGCTCTTGTTTTCTTGGATGAACTTTGTGCAGAATCACTGCCTGAATCTTTAGAACTATCTGTGGACTTAAACTCTTCGGTGCTTACAGATCCCCTTCCCTCCTATCTCCCCTTCCCCCAACCCTCCATGGTAACCCAGAAGCCCAGTTGGCTGTAGTCATAGGTGGCTGTGCTCAAAGCAAGACTAGAAAGGGGGTCTTTAACAGCAATTATCCTTTCTGAACCCCAGCCACCAACCCTTACCTTGTCTAGGCAACTTCCTTAGGCATCCCCTTCTTAAACCCTTCCCAGTCCCTTTTGAACCTGATGAACTTGCCAGGCTGGGGGCACCAAGGGAGAGGTCTCTATGGTCTGTGAGACTTGTTATGCCTCTGTCTGATTTTTTCTGCTCCTTTTTCCCCTCTCACCCTCTCTTCTCTCCCTCCATGCCCCTTCCCCTTCCAAAAGTACTAACTCCTCCCTCTCATTGAGCTAGTTACTGCTTGCCAACAAAGTTAAAACTGGCAAAGCAGCTTTTTTGTTTAATTTTGCTCTTTCCTTGATTGTGTCCAGAGGAAGGTATTTACAGTAGGCTTCAAGATCTCAGGATCTTGTATTGTCCTCTTCTGCTTCATGCCTCCATCCCATTTCCTATAGCAAGGTCTAAATGTTTCAAAGGGCGATTGAAGGACTTGTTAGTATAGGATATTGTTCTTTTAGACCATCTTTGACAAACCCACCTATTCCCTTTCCCTTAGCAAAACATGTTTTTGTTCGTTTTAGTTTGAGAACTGGGAGGAGAAATAGAAAGGCCTCACAGCGAAAGGGTCAAGACAGAGCCAGAGCAGGTTGTTGGTTTCTCTCCACTTTTCTAAAGATGGAAATTCTTTTTTTTTTTTTGGGTGGGATGGGGTGGGGAGGGAGGGCTTGGACCACTTAGAAATAACCCTATGGCAGCATTTTGGGTCAATTCTTTGTCCACTTTCATTACCAACTTGATATCCTAGGGACTTCCATCCTATTGCCAGGTCTTTTGGTACTAAGTCTTCAGCGTTCCCAGTTCCCCTTGCTTCCATCCAACAAATGAAGAAGCAGGCTGCATTGTGGGAGACGCTAAACCTCATAGGAGATGCCAAACCTCAGGGGAATGGAGTAAAAGCTTGTGTGGTGTCTGTGGATTTCCAGGATGAGTTGCAGTAGTTGGGACAGTAATGCTTTCAGGGCTCTTGTGGAGATGTGTGTTGGGTGAGGATTACGTGCCCATCCCCTTTCTCTTTTCTAGACCTTGAGCCTAGCTCCCTCAGGACTTGGGAGACCTTGGGAGAGCAGTGGGGAAGATGCTGTAGTCTGGGGAGATTAGAAGCTTACAAACAGAGAAGAGCCTGCTGAGGAGCGGGCTTGGAAAGGCAGACAGAAAGGTCTGGAACCCTGCAGGTTCAAGGGTGAAAGGGAAGATCTCTGAGTATTTTCCTAGAAATGGTGGGAGAATCAAAGTGGTTGATATTTAAAAGGATATGTGGAGAAGGGATTTCTTTTACTTAACTCCTTAAATTGCCAGTAAATTTTTGTATCCAAAAAAAATGCAGTCTGGATGTTTTTTTTTCTCTCTCTCTAGGTTATTCTAAGAGTGACCTTTTATATATACAAGATAAGTGGTATATGCTCTTTATTTCACTGTGCTTGAGTAAACTCCTATTCCTTCATTTTTGCTTGCTAGCAGAATGGGCATTTACAGGCCTGCTTTTTGCTTGTAATTGAGAATGTGTGCAAAATATCAAACTTGTTTCCTGTGTAGTATGAAGCCTTCTGTGACTATTTTATCAGCTTGTTCTGGTCTCTTCATATATAGCTCTATTCTTAGAAACAATTTCAATAATGTGATCTTTAAAGAGTCCGAAATTTTGCAAATTGTTGCTGTGTCTTGTGGAAGTAATCTCACAAAGGAAGACCTAACTGTTGTCTTTCTTGATATTCCTTGTCCTAGTGGTAATGTACTTGATAATGTTCCTAACCAGTGTAAGTACCTGTAGAATTGCTTTGTCGAATTTAAACAAGATTGTTAGTACTTTTGTCTTCTCCTGTGTGCTTGAAGGAAAATAAAGTCTGTCACTCTGCTGTGTTTGTTTTCACCAAAATAAATATATAAATAAATAAGTGAATGAGTAAGTGAAGTTTTCTCTGTGTTGTCTATGCTAATTAGTTACCCGGTAATCACAATTAAGTCCTTGACGATATAAAAAAATAAAGACTATGGTCACTAAACCTTCCAGGACTTTTTGCTTGGCAAAAAGTTTTTCTTTTACAACCATTTTAGACTTAGGAGTAAATTTATGCACTATAAATTAGGAGTAAATTTATGCACTATAAATTGATTTTTGTTAATATATACTCTTTTCAGTGAGTGGAAAAATGTTCTCCACTCATTATGACTCATTTTTTTGTTTTCTTAAAATTAATTTGAGTTTTTGGAAGAATTAATCATATTCTATAAATGATACTTAAATTATCTTGTAGCAATATTAGTACATAGGATAGAGTTATGACTAATACAATATCTAGACACAAATATCAGACATCACAACTTCAGTTACTAAGCATTCATTTTGCTGTTCAACAGCTATTTTCATTACATGAATATTTAGTAAGTAAAGACTTGTCCATTCTCTGTAGTAGGACTACTATGGGCTATAATATCTGTGAAAATAAATGACCACATATTTTCACCATTAAAGTACAAAGTTGGCATAGATGGCCTAAAAGTACTGGTATGAGTTAGAGAATTGATTCTTAATGCAATTCTTACTCTGCAATCTCTATTTGCTGACGTCTTTTCTTTTTTTTTTTAGGCCTAGAAAATTTGCAGCTTTCTTTTGTGAGCTCTAGGCACATCTTAACTTTAAATTCTTAAGTTGGTTATTTACCTTTTCATTTTAGTGATTGATGTCTATACTGTCAGTGACCTTTTTAAGCATTATTTCTTACCCTATTGTGGACACAATCAGAAAATGTCTTTTTTTGTTGCCCTCAGGTTATTATTCGCTTTAGTCCAGGCAATATTACTCATTTTTCTAATAGCTGGTGCCTTTCACCTGTTGCAGATTAATGCGGTTTTTCCTTAGAGATTTAAATTCCAATGAGACATTTTGTAGTTTTCACCATTTGGTTTCTCTCCTGCACTGTCATTTCTCCCCCTTAATTCTAAACCCAAATTTTCCTGTACATTGGTCTCCAAATTATTTGTGTTTCTCTTAATAATTTGGGAAACTTTAGTTTCCCAAAGTTCACTAAAAAAGTATTATTATAAACCTGCTCAGGCATCTTTCCTGTAACAGTGATATACTTCATAATTTCCCTGGTCCCTACTTAACAGAATCTCCGTGGGTATTCTTTCCCATTTTTGGACTTTCATTTGAGGCTAGATAGGCAAAAAGATTTCTCTGATCTTTATTCAGTCTTCCTTTTCCTCCACATTTAGTCTGCTGCCTGTTTTTAGTTTACCTCCATCTGATAAGTTGCCTTCAATCCAGTTTAATCATTCAAAACAAAGTTGCCTGCCCCATGAGGCCTCAATTTGAGCCTTGCACATCTGATACACATTCCATGATATCTGAAGTACATGATATCTGAAGTACATGTTTATCATGTTACCAACATACTCCTCACAAGTATAATCATCTATTTGTATAGTTGAGCAAGAGGCTCAGAAAGTTGAAGTAAACTGCCTAAGATGCAAGTCATAAAGACGTTTTCTAATTCAACTGTATCAGCCATCTGTACTAAATTTGGCATTAAAAATAAAACAAAAGATGTACTTGAGTATTCAGGTCTCAGTTCATGGTTATTTTTAGTCTACCCATGAATGGTCTGAAAAGGGTACTTTTATTCACTTAATATAGGAATCCCTATCATTACAGATTGTTGAAATTTTAAAATTTCAGTGTGGTGATTTTTTTTTTTTAAAGATTTATTTATTTATGTATACAGAGCTAGGGTACAGGCGAGAGGTGCAGGGACGGTGAGAGGATTCACCAGAGTTAGAACAGACCTATTTACGAGGTACACTGCTGAGGGGAGCAGCAGGCAGGTCGGGTCACCTCCAGGGCAGCTGTGGCTAGCTTGCAGTGTAGTATCCTAACCCTTTGCACCACAGCGGGTGGGGGTGGGGGGGTCCTGGTGATTGTTTTTAACAGGTACAATTTATTGCTCCTTTTTAAGCTTTGAAAATCTTTGACCTTTACCAGGGAAGTATACCAAAGCTAATACCTATTTATTTACTTAAATGAGAACAGGTGCATTATATAAGAACCTGATTGTCAAGCAGTTTACCTCAACTCTACAAGCCCAGTTAGCCCACCTCTCACCCAAGGTTAATTGGACCAGTTTTTATCACTCCTCCATTTTGGTTTCTTCAGCACCTGTGAGGGTATTCAAAATGAACCTGAATTTGAAGAGTAGATTTGCTTACTGATGACTTTAGCATATGTAATTTCCAAGAGAAACAGACCATTATACATTTTAGGACTTAAGGTGATTCTTGGTTCTCTTACTCTTTTAGGTGTAAGTTCTACCTTAAATTTTAATGTATTTTACTCAATTATTAAATTACTTTAGGGCAGAGCTTGTGCCTCCATCTTTAATCTCTAATATGTCCTTGCATGCTGTAAAGTAACTGAAGTGTGATTTTAGATTGAGAATTTGCCCATTCTGGGTCAAATATTGGAAGACGTTAAGTGTCAAATCAACTAAGCATGATTTTGGGGGTTAACTTGGACTCATGTGCAGACTGTTCCTTACTAATAGCGCAATTTTGAGCAAGCATATTATCTAGCCTGTGTGAATTCCAATCTTTTCATAATTATACACACCTTATAAAGGAGCCTAGAGCGGAGTTATTAGCACTCATTATCATGTTAAAAAATGATTATTTCTGAAGCTGGGTCTGGAGACCTACAAGAGACACCTTTTTGAGTTCACATTATGTGGAGTGGATCATGTTCCTAGGATTTCCGTGGGCAGCAAACTGGGTCAAAGTATGTGAGGTAAGTCTCCAATAGATACCAGTCTCTCACTAACCAGGAAGCTATTAAAATCTCGTGCTTGAGATTCTGAAAAGAGGTTAAGGGAATATTACTGTAACATAACATACTAAAAAAAAAGCTATCCATATGATTTTAACATACAGTGATTATATACAAAAAGATAGTTTTTGAAATATCATTTTATGTTGGTTATGTGACATAATTATATGAATTTGATTTTAATTCAAACCAATTCACTTTTATGTGTTTATTAAATATAAATACGGGTACAGATGATCTATATACAAATATGCATATACACTAAAAGTATGTACATGTAATATGTACGTGTGTATGTGTTGGATGTGATGTAAATGATACTAGAGAAACACCTGATTTCAATTTAGCTTTACAAATGCAGAGTAACTGATTTAAAATTGCAGTATGTGGTACAACTGAAGTTTTGCTAACTTAATTATTACAAATCCCAAATGCTGACAAACCATTTGACCATATACCTTTAGAACTTTTCTCTGCTGATGAGATCAACAGTGGTAAGCAAAGAAAACCTCAACTCCTTTGCATTTATCTTTAGACATTTAATGAATGCCTGCATGCTAATATTAAACTTGTCTTATATTTATACAATTTTTCTGCTTCCTTATTTCATATAACAAAGAATATATAGCTTTTCTTCTCCAATAGCTTTTTAATTTCTATAGCAGCATTTACTGATGATTGTTTTTAACTCTTAAAATTTAAAGACTGGCACTTTTTAGACACATAAAAATCTAACAAGTCTTTAGTATAATAGATATAGAGATAAACATTTATCAGAATTACAGGCTCTGCTAGAAAGGGGGAAGCAAACTTGGAAATAAACTTTCTCTTTTTATAAGATGGGAAACAAAAAACAAAAGTGAGGTCAAATTAGCTGGTAACCTATTTAGCTTCCTTAGAGTAGGTACTGGTAAAAAACAGATCAAATCTGGATGAATTTTTTTCATTTCTTAGTGGCAAAAAAGTACAGTTTTCTTATTTCTGGATTTTTGCTTTTCATATTAACATTAGCAGTTTCAAGGCATTTAAAAATTCATCATTCTTCACCACTGACAAAATAAACACACATAAGGAAAAATAGCTTTATTTTAAAAAGAAACCAAGATCAATTTAAAGTATATAAGAGTTATTTAACATTTTTTTTGGCCCTAAGCTTGATGCTTATTATCATATTCTAATGAGACTTCAGATTTTAACTTCAAAGACACCCTCATATTGTTACTAGAAAATGTCAAATAAAGCAACTGACTTTAAGGAAGAAACTTCATTAACTATTTACCTATCCTGAGATACTCATCCCCACAATATCTGGGATTATTTTAGATTTTAAAACTCTTGACAAAATATTTTTTTCATTTCATGCATCAATATGCTAGCTACTCTGATTTAATCCATATAAAAGAAAGACAATGACAAGTATATTTTAAGAGATTGTCCAGGAGGGACAGAGTGATATTATAGCATAAAGAGTAGCCATGTTTATATTGTAAACATTATCTGGTTCCAAACAGTTTGCAACAAATAGCTACTAACATGACTGTACAAAGCACATAGACCACAATAATCTTGGATTGCAGCATTATAAACCTTAGTAATTTTCCCACTGTCACCTCCCAAGAGGAAAAATTAAATGGAACCCTAATTAGTATATATGCATACATTCCTCTTTAATGAGAAAAAATAATACTAAGGAAAATGATTTTTCTGCACTAAGTTAAGCCTGAAAGACCACAACTCATTCAATTACTCTTTTTCACTCTGAGAACCAATTATTTTTACCCACTGAGAAAAAAAATGGGTACAAATGAATGAAAAATTAAAATGAATGAAAAAGAAACAGCTTTCAAAATTATTAGAGGGTGAATGCCTAATTGATTAACAGTGGAGACTGAAATTGTTGGCTTCTCGTATCATCTCAGTTGCATACTGGCTGTGTGGTTGCAAAGAAATCATTTCTCTTTATTGTTTTTTAAAAACAAGAAACCTGATAACCTGGAAAAATCATTTAATCTCACTGGACTCAGTGTGCTTGGCTATGAGTTGAAGGGACACCAGGTGTTTTCAGTTCTGGCTGCATTTCCCTGGGGCATATGAAAATGTCAACACTCGACTATTTCCAGACCAATGAAGCCAATCTCTGGAAGATATGGCCTAGCCAGTGGTTCTTAAACTTTAGTATCAACCACAGGATTATTAACAGACTGTGTACTATGGTTACATTCTCTGTTTCAGAATCTGTATTTCCGAGGCTACCCTTCCAAATTACATTTCTATTGGGATTTTAGGTGATGCTATATTAGTAGTATAGGGACCACACTTTGGGAACCACTAGGCTGGGCATGTTTATGTAAGTGTGTGTATGTATGTATGTATATAAATATATGGGTATGTATGTATGAGTATATAACTCAAGTGAATTTTAATCTCAGAACTACTGGTATAGAAAATATTAATAAGGTTCTTTTTTGCTCTAAGATACCAAGATTTTAGTATCAGAATTGGGGGGTGGGGGTGGAGATGAACTGTATGAAAGAAGAGATAGAAAAAGATCAGTTTCTTAGTGAATTTTCATTAAGAATTTGTTCCTATAAAGCATCTTACAGTATTTTTTAAAAATTAAAATCTTTACAGTACATTTGCTGCATATACGTTTCTTCTCTTCACTTGTTAGTAAAGATCATTTATTTGGTTTTTGATGTTTCCTTTGATAAGACTAATGGAGGGTTTGGGTAGTAGCCAGCCATTTTTGAATTGTTTGAAGAGAACCTTGTAAATTTGTAGTCCAGGGATAATTCTGGAAAACAAACAAACAAAAAACACTTTGATTCCAAAGGTCTTTCATAAACATAAACAAATAAAAATTGGATAGTGATTGATAATCTTAGTTTTTAGAGTCTGACATTTTAGTTTTTTCTGGTCCCCTGGATATGCTGCATCTAGAATGAAGACTGTAGGTGTAAATGATCTTTTCCTATAAATGGTAAGTAAGAACTAATATCTTTTACATTAGAGAACTACAAATGATAAGCTAAACAAGAATTCTAATATGTATACTGTGATAACTTCACCTGACAACAACACACACAGTCATAAAGGGCAATCAAGAGAAAAAACATAAAATGCCAACTTTATTAATGTAGGGCATTGTGATATCTTCATATAGGTGTCTCAAAAGCAAGCCTTCCAGTTCTCTACATAGTCCTTCATGGAAACATTGCCTGAATTATTACATATGACACATAATAAATGTCATGACTCCTCATGTACTCACTGTAATCTGTATTACTGCCCAGTGAGTATATGTGGAAGTACTGAATATTTAAAAAATGACACAAGCGTAAACATGACGTTTTATATTAAATGCCACTGATAATCATCAAGGAAGGTCCAAGTAGTTAATTGTTATTAGGAGAAAACTAGTGCTAGAAACTGGGAAGAAGTATGTTCTCTTTCAATGCCAGAGAAAGCTGACTTCAAAACAAAAACTATTCAATATTAATACATTTCAAAGTTCTCCAGTGCTCAGTTAAAATGTATTTTGAGGCATGTATTGAGAAGGAAATTGACAAAGACTGAATTTCTAGAATTACATAGCTAAGGTTCTGGATTTCTGATAAGTCACCAAAATGATACATGGTTAGAGTTAAGCCAACTGGCCACTTCTATCAGTGTTTTTTTTTTTTTTTTTAAGATTTGTTTATTTCTGCATACAGAACTCCGGTGCAGGCCAGAGTTGCAGGGGTGGTGAGAGGATTCACCAGAGACAGAGTGGAGAGCAGAAAAGGCAGATCAACAAAGTACACTGCTGAGGGGAGCAGCGGGCAGGTCAGGAGAGGTCTGCCACCCCATGTGGGTCACCTCTGTGGTGGGGATTGAACTCATGTTGAAGTGGCTTTAGCTTCTTAGTGCTGTGTTTTAACCTGCTATGCCACCAGGGAGGGTCTCTATCAGGGTTTTTTTTTGCACACATTCATCTTCAAGTACATATTAAAATCGCTATATAGTTATTATTATGTTAAAAAATAGTATGTTATCAAAATGCTTATAAGTCACTACCATTTTAACATATTTAGAAATGAGCACAAACTTTTACAACATTTATATATTTAAATGTCAAGTCTAACAAAGGATATCCATAAATAAAGAAACATTACATCAATATAAAAATGTTTAGGCCCTCCCTGGTGGCGCAGCGGGTTAAAGCACTGCACTAAGAAGCCCAAGCCACTTCCTCATGAGTTCGATTCCCGCCTGCCCCGGAGGTGACCACATGGCGTGGCAGACCTCTCCTGACCCGCCCGCTGCTCCCCTCAGCAGTGTACTTCATTGATCTGCCTGTTCTGCTCCCCACTCTGTCTCTGGTGAAGCCTCTCACCGCCCATGAGCCTCTGGCCTGTACCCCAGTTCTGTATGTACAAATAAATAAATCTTTAAAAAAAAAAAATTAAAAAAAAATGTTTAAGAGGTGGGAGTTTCAGGGTTTGTTTTTCGCCTCTTATCTCATTTAAAACAGAAAGTTTGTTCTCTCCCAGGTAGCAGGAAACTGAGATCAGATGACTGTTGTATTTAAACAGATGGCCAAACTGGCAATTTCTGAGATGGGGGATTCAGCAGGAGGGAAAACATTAGCATCTCTGCTAGAGCACTACTAGGTGCTATTTGAAAGAAAAGAGAAAGGTAGATGAAAAAGATTTCTATTTATCACCACAAATCTCTATTAACTCTGTACTGAATATATGATAGTATCAACCATGCCATAGAGCCATTATTTAAATGAGGAAAGCCAAAGTAAACAGATACTCTTCAATAATGAGTTCAACGTAAAACAACAGAGACACAGAAACAAAAACCTCTTGGAACTTGAGATATAACTTCTTTATGAGAAACAGTGAGAACTAACTTAGAGACGAATGCTTTGCTTTCTGAGTCTCTTGGACATAAGTTAACAACCGAATAGGACATGCTAACTCTCCTTTTCCTTCAGAAAATCCCATACTTGTTTAGCTTTGTTTGATTACTTTCTGTCCGTTAGTTTTTTATTTAGTGCAAGTCTTCTGTTGCTACATTTCCCCTACTTTTGTCTAAAAGTAGTTTTCTTTTATATTTTAGTGAAGTTTCTTCTGGATATAGAATTGCATCCAGACTGAGAAAGCCATTTTCTTTCAGCATTTTCAAGATAACATTCTATCTTTTGGGTTCCTTTGTTTCTGTGGGAAGTTTGATGTCAGTTTAACTCTTACTCTGTTGAAATTAATATTTTTATTCTCTGGTTGCTTGAATAATTCTTAATTACCTTTGGTTTTTAGCAAAGTTTTATTTTGGATTTTAAAGTTTGTTTCAGTTCTTTGGGCTTCTTAAATCTCGGTTTATTTTCTTTCAACATTTTTAAAATCTGTAACTACTGGTTTTGGTTTATTCTCTCATCTCCTGGGATTCCTATTAAGAAATCATATTCCTTTCAATGTATCATTTCTACTTCTTGGTCCCTCTTCTGTATCTTGCATGCCCTTTTTTACCCTAAATGCCTCATTCTGGATATTTTATTTTCCAGCACATTAATACACTTTTCAGCTGTATTTAATCTGCTTTAAGAAACTATATTTTAATTTTTTTGAATTTCAATTATTTTAATAGATTTTATCTTTCCACCAAATCTCTCATTACTTTCTGTACTTGAAAATAAATTTGCTTATTTTTCTTACTGTAGTCTCACATTCCTGTGTATCTGGCAATTTTTCATTATGTGCTCAACGTTATATTGATTGTTTTTAGAAATGATTTGAGTCCTAGGATGTTACCTTCTGCATAAAAAAATATTCATTACTTTCTATCAGGTGGTTTGGGATAGTACCAATCTTAAATATTCTCAGTCCTATTTTAGGGATTCAGCAGATCCCGAAACAAGTTTACAGTAGTCCCTATAAATGCTTACCTGCAATTCATGCATACTCTTATAGGTTCATAAAGTTAATAAAAGGTTTATTCACTTTTTTTTTGATGCCCTGTCTCAAATCAGCAATTACTCAGGGAAAAATGCAGTTCCCAAAATCAGGTTCACTATACTGGCCATCCTTAACATCTCTCCTGGTCATTTTTCTCTACCTTTAGCCTATGACTTCAAACAGGTGGGTCGGTCGTAATCACCTACACTCCACATATCTAGCTGTTTCTCAAGAATGTCACAGAGCACTTTTCTTCTTTTAAAAGCAAGAATTCTAACACTTAAGGTCACTGTTGTCAAATAAGAGGAAAATTGCTGTGAGGATATTCTCCCACTTACCTGCTATTGTTTCAAGACTTGGAATTGCAATAGTGCTGTAAGTACTGATTCTCTTGCAGGACCAAGTATAAACCAAGGAGTCTTCTTTATTTTCCAGCCCCGAAATTGAATCAACAAAAAATGAGCCCCATTTTTTAGATGATGTATTTAGAGGTTTTGACTTTGGCTCCTGAAATGAGAACAGAATGAAAAATATGATTAATGCTCAATCTCATAATAAGTTTTTCCACACTAAAAAAAATTAACCAGCTCTTATTATACAATATACTTAAAAATAAATATCCTTTGTATAGTTTTGTATATATTAAGGTACATGTGTTTCCATTAAGTATGGCTTTTTTTTTTTATTTGATGTGAGTTTTTCCTTCTTTATTGACTACTCCACCGGAATGAATTTAGAAAAATGTGCTTTATTTTCAGACCTTACATCTTTCTTCTTCATTTTGTTTTTATATGCTAAATTTCCTCTTTCCAGTTTTATGATTTATTTTATTTGTCTTTCCCCCAGGTCTTCCTTTGAGTTCAGGTATCACCTATTTAATTGTCAGCCCCATGACAGTGAGCACAGGTTTTCTTATCCAAGCATAAGAGCTTGACCGTGCTGAGTCCAGACCCGCCCACCTCAGCATCAGCCAAAAAAAATCCCAGATGCCACAGCAGTGGGTGAAAGCAGAGGACAGGGGAGACACACACAGGGCAATCACTATAGCACTGAGATGAAGAGTTGAGCCTGTAGATTTTAAATGCCTGCAGAGTTCTTCACTCTTGGTGCAAACAAGCACCTTCTAAGCTATTTTTAATACACCTGTTTTTCTTTCAAAGAAAGAGCTAAAGGGGAGGGAGCTCTTACCTCATATTTTCCTTTTTTCTCTAGTGGTTCAGATTCCTCAGCTGTCTCATCTCTGTCCTCTCTGAGTTCTTCCAGGATGAGGACTGTCTCCCAATTTCTATAATGACGGGCTGGGAAAATATCTGAATGCATGCTGTCACCAAAGTAAACCACCTGTAAATCAGTAAGTTGTGTTGAGACATAAGAATTCCATTTCATAGAAGGCAGAAAAAAATTCCTCAAAAGGTATCAGAGCAAAATCAGAGTTGCATGAACATCTTAAATGTCCCTGAACAACTTCACAGGTGGTCACTGAGTTGGTCCATTTGCTTCGCAGGGCACCAGATTTAAGAAATTACATACTTCATTTACAGGTAGAAGAAAAATAGAAGCAAAGTGATTCTATTCAAGTTTCTGGAAAAAGGAGAGCCTATACGTTTCATTTAAACCTGCCCCTAAAGTTGAAGAGCTGGTGAGATATTAGAGATGACTCATTATCAAGGAGTCCTCATCACAACGACTTTTACAGAGTGTTTGTGGCCCTACACAGACCAACTGAAACACAGACTCAGAGTGGAGTTTAGGAAGTAGGGCCTGGGAAACTCTCTGAGGAAAAGCCCCATTAACCTAGCCTGTATCTCTGAATATATGGATGAAAAAACAAGGCATGAATTGGACCCTCCATGTCAGGAGGCCCTGCCTACTAAGCCCTTTAAGAAGCTCAGGAGGCTGTGGCAATGTGGAGTGGGGACTCAGTGATTTAGAGGTCTCTCTTGCTTATTGGGTACCTGGCAAGCATTTTTTATAAGAAAGAGTTCTCTGTTAAAAATGTACCACCACCACCAACAAAAATGCACCAACATTTAACATCAGTGATCTGATCAGGATGTCAAAGGCAAGTGTGTCTTTAGAACATTCTAATTTAGTCATTGCTTGTTTTACATATAAAAACTCTGATGCACTACTATGAGGATATCATTCCTCATGTACCCCACTTATTAATCCAGTATAGTCCTTAGCTCTGTGGCCTCTCCTTAGAATTTTTTCTCTTCTTTGTTAATGATAAAGACCCAAAAAGGAAGGGCTTATTTATTCAGGAAAGGCAGAAGAAGAGATTGGCAGGTATGAAAAGGTGGATGCTTTCTCCACAGATAACTAAGCTGGGTGCATTCATAATTATGGTTTTAGTTTATAATGATTTTGTCTTCAGATGGGCAATAAGGTTATTTTGCCTCAATCAGAAAAATACCTTGGGTTCAGGTTTGCCAGTCATTTTTTTCAGAAGTTCATAAAGGTGAACCGCATTTCCTTGGGAGTACCAGCCAGGTTTATCCAGAGATGGCAATTCTTCCTGCTCCTCGTCATTCTCTGCAAATACAGTTTGGCAATCATACTTTTTAGCGTAAGGTACAATGATTATGTGCATTTGGGTATAGCTTCAGGACATGTACAAGAAATAACCATCTGAAGACAAGACCTAGCATGCAGGGAACACTTACACATTACAAGAACTTCATGGATTTCAAAATTTATATACAAATACACACAAAAATTACATCTAAAATTTTTTTCAAATTATTTTTTTCAGAGCAGTTTCAGGTTCACAGCAAAAGTGAGAGGCAGATACACACTTCCCAAATGCCCTCACCCTTACAAGGACTCCTGTGATCAGTAATTAAATGAGCCAATGCAGGTTCATCAACTGTAACAAGTGCACTGCTCTGGTGTGGGGGTGGGGAGTGCTGATAATGGGAAAGTTGTATATAATTTAGTATTTACAGCAACCTTCTTAATTGGGAAAATATGGCATAAGGAAGTTATTTTACCCAAGGTACCAATGCTGGCAAGTGATTTATTCAGTAATCGGGATAGATGTCTACTTGGCATCATGCCCCTGCTTGACAAAATGTCTTATAAACAATACAACAGACTGACTCGGTCCCACTTCCTTTTGAAACTGGCATCTAGGGAGATAGGTATTTATCAGTTTATTAAATCTAGACTGTTGCATTAAGTTTTGTCTTACTCACATAACCCTCACAATCTACTCTGGGTCCCCTGGCTACATCTGCTGCTACTGATTGTTACTGCTGTAGTCTTCTAATTCTACCATCATTTTCCTGTCCTGGTCAGTTTCCAAACTAATGGGGAAATTGAAGCTCATAGAGGTTTTCACACCTTGCATAAGGCCCATGGATATGTGGTAGTTGTCATCACTCTGAGAGTAAGCACCTCTCCCTCTCCAATAAATTCTGTACCTAAGGTGTCATAATTGCTTTATTCCATTCCCTGTTCTGGGGGTTAGTAAAAGGAGTATCTGATGCCAAAGCGCACACCTGTGGACTATTTCAAGCTGTTCTCTCCAGGCGCCCTGCTTGCTCATTCCTATTAAAACAGGATGGTGAAGAGGTAAAATGTTTGTTTCCTGGGTCTTGTTAGCTGTTACATGCCTTATAGACGGGCCACTAAGATGATGCACAAAGATAAAATGATTTTGTTAAAAAAGTGATATACCAGCAGAGGCATTAATAGGCCTAAGTTTTGCAAACTGCCTTGGAAGACTTCCCCATATTAATTTCACAATTTAAAATTTTAACAAGGTAGTCATTTTTGGGGGGAGGCTGCAGGGATTCTTTCTTTTTTGCATCTAAGAAAAATATATATGTGATTTAGTTGTATGTTGTAAGTAGAGGTAGATCCAAGTTTTTAGGACCAGAAGTATACGCCGTTGGAGGTGCTCCTTTTTAGAGGACAAATACACACTCCACACAAGCTTTTTTCTCCCTCTACCTTCTTCCTCAGGGCTGCAAATGGTACCACCATCCACCCATTTGACAAATTCAGAAAAAAGAAAACATTTTTATTCCTTCTTAATTTTCATCTGCTGCTTCTAAAAGCACGTCTAAGTAGAGTTTTCTGTTTCCACAGCGTATCTTAAATATATCTTTATTTCTAAAAATTCCTTAGACCCAAACCCATAATCTTTCACTTGGGATATGCAGTTGCCTGCTCTTCGCCTTTCTCTCTATTCCTTCTCACACCCAGTCCATTTCCAGGCAGTAGTAAAAGAGGTGGCTATACCACATTACCTCAACTGAATGACTTCAGACTGCTTGTATGACACAATTCAAACACCTTTCCACAGTGAACAAGGCTGTCTCATGCCCTAACTTCAACTCCTCTTGCCCCATAATCGTGTGCCAGAAACAGGTCTCACTGCGTGTGTGTGTGTGTGTGTGTGTTTGTGTCTCATTCAGGACCTTAACTCCACCTATAATAGCTCCATACACTTACTAGCTTGCTCATTTAGGCACTAAAATACCAAGGTAAAGTCCATGCCCTTTATTTTTTTAAAGCCAGGGAGAGACTAACATACAAATGAACAACTATAATATCAGGTGGTTAATTACCTTTAATTATCTTCTTTCCCTGATGCTGTGTCCTTTTTAATCTCTTATTCTATCTAACACAGAACCTGTACATGACTGCTAGTTTAGCAGGTACTTACCGAGGAAATAAATGAAGAGACATTCACTTAGAGGTCACTAAATGGAGAAGAAACAAACAAAATATAACTTACCAAGTGTCCAGAAAGGCCTTTGACTTGGTAAATGAGAGAAGAAACCAGGCTTCAATGCATTTGTAATAATGATGTCAAAAAGATCTGGAAAATCATTCCTAAAAAAACAGTATATTTTTCATAAATGTATTTTTTCATAAGTATATTTCATAAATATTGGCAAAAGTCCACACAAAACAGAATTTAATCTTAGTCTGACTATTTGACCATCATTTCTTATTTTTTGGTTAAATTTTACATGTTTCCTATACATTTAAAATTTACCCTTGCACTGGAAATAAAAAGAGGTTGAGTATAAATTTTCCTAACAAAACCTTGACGTGTAGAAGTAAGAGAAAAGGACATTAGCTCACTCTCAGGGGTAAGCCAGCTTCTGCACAAAGGCTGCAGTTACAGTGAGAGAATTCAAGTTTCTAACAGCTGGGAATATTCATCAACTATTTATTCAAACATGGGGCCTGAAATTAGTCTGATTGATTAACCTAATTGTTACTAATAACTTTTGTGTGTTATATGGGTTCTGTAGAAAGTTAGTAGGATATCAAGTCAGGTCACATCTCTTAGAGCATGTTAAAAACATGAAGATATTGATGGAATCTTTAAATGTGGCACTTTTTAGATAACGGTAGTAATTATCTCTTTAGTTGTAGTTAATGCTTTGTTAAGCACTATTTAGGATAGCAAAGGAAAGATGATCCTTGTTCCAAAAGGACTGGTTATTGCATTGGGGAGGCAATATTTACCCAATATTCTTGAATACTTTTATAATCCAAACTATGTTAAACAGACAGGTAGAAAAACTTTGGAAGTTATGCTAATGACAAAGGAATCAAGAGTTCTGAGAGTGCATCTTTAAAGATGGTCCAACTACCAGGTCTGAAAATGCCTCTGGAGAGGCCCTTCCAGTACACCAGGACTTTAAGCCTTACCTAACTTCAAGGATCCCAAGTATGTATATAATTGGGAAACAGAAACTTCACTGAGATATTAAGTGTATCATAAATAAGTTAACCCCCCACAGCTGACAAATACAGAAATCAGGAGGTTAGAATAGCTGGCCAGGTCAGTTGTGTCATGGTGAAACAGTATTTGCTGAAATTTGAGGAAGATTTAGGAAAGACCTACCTGGTAGCACAAGGGTTTAGTTCTCAGCACTATGAAGCCATCCAAAGCCACTGTAGCACAAGTTCAATCCCTGGGCAGGGAGGTGACTCCCATGGTGCAGAAGACTTCTCCTGGCCCACCTGCTGTTCTCCTCAGCAGTGTATTTCAGTACATTTACCTGTTCTGCTTACTCTGTGTCTGGTGAATCCTCTCACCCCTCCATACCTCTGGTCTATACCCCAGGCTCTTATATGCATTAAAAACAAACAAACAAACCTTAGGGGAGCTCTAACAGCCCACAGAAAAAATCTTGCTCTGACCATGGCTGTCCCTTGGTATTGCCCATAGAAGTGAGTATCAATACTTACTGAAATTTAATCAACTACTCTGCCTACTAATAAAACTTAACCAATTACTCTGATCTAACTAATCTGCATTCTGCTACTTCAATTTTCCCTTGAATCCATAGATATTCTTGTCCCATCTTTAAAATGATGAAATGGAAGCTTAGAGGTCATAGAATCTGCTCTCAAAGTTAGCTGCAAAGCATGACTTGAACCCATGTCCATCTTATCTTATGGATGTCAGTCCCCTTTGTGTCTGTGCTAATGGTGACATACATGACTCCAAAATGGCTACAAAAGGATCATAAGTCAGGCATGTTGGGTTATCTAATGTACAACTTTGTGTCCCTTAATAATTGCCCAAAGTTGAGGAACCAAATTCAAGGTAGTCCATCCAGCTTCACAGCATCAGTGAACCGTCGGAATACGCAACAACACTGCTATGATGTCAGCTGCTGTCAGTTTTGCTTAGTGACATGGTCATCCCCGCCATCAGCTTGTTATAAAGCCTTGAAAACAGATGACTCATCACTTACCCAAGGATATATTCACAGAGGAGTCGACAGTAATCACTGTGAGAACTGGTGATTAGCAAAAGAATCTTCCCAGAACTCTTTAGTTGTCGAAGCCACTTTTTTACAGATTCGGGACAACTGTGTACATATTTGCCTGGATTTCTTTTTATTTCTGGAAAATATATTCCACAGTTTTCTGAAAAATAAAAATATCATGGAGATTTGACTCAGTATATTATCAAATGAATTTTTGTCTCTCGAAGTTAAACATAAAGCAAAAATAAAAACTAGGTTCAAGCAATCTAGCAGTGATGTGACAGTAACTGCTTAAGAATACTTTTTTCTTCTTAAAATGTGACGGTGAATGTATCAGTTGAAGATATTTGCTGGCAGTTTGAAAGGTAATGAACAGATTAACATAATAAACAGTCAGCATTTGAAAATCAGAGAAAATTTTATCTTTGAAATATGAAATGGATTGATAAATATTCTTTCAGTCCTTTAATAAATATTTGCTGACTCTAGATAATGTGCAACTATTCAGATAATGCATCAGGAACACGTCCTTGGCATGAAATAGCAGAGAAGAAAGTTGGGTTCCTCAGAACAGTTATACTGTTTCAGATGAAATGGAGACTTCTATTCTCAGCTCCTTAGAGGAAATATCAAATAAAAACAAAACAAAACAAAACAAAAACAAGAACAAGCCAAAAAAGACCAGATGGCACTGCAGTGAAAGCTGAAAGATTTGAATCACAGCTGGGACTGCTGTCTCTTCCCCTCTGGGTCTTCAAAGAATCTTAGGAGTGTAGGCTGAGCTCCAAGGCCCATGGTGGCAGTTATCTCTGAAAGTCCTGTCTGATGCCCCTCAGTGGTGACAGGGTGCCTGGAAAGTCGAGTGTACTTAGCAATTACAGATATGGTTGAAATGCTTCTAGAGTCATGAAGCATTTGAGAGAAACTATTTTCTGACAATGACAGCACTAATAAGCAGATAAAAGCCGCCAATTTCTTTTACTGCCAGGAACAGGGCAAGCATAAACAAAACAATGGATGAAAGAGCTTGTACTGACTTATAAACTGTGCAATAACTAAATATGGGCTGTAATGGTAACTGCAGAGTGTCATGCTCCTGAAATAACAGAAATAAAATGTTGTATTCCAAGGATCTTAGAGCAAGAAAGAAGAGTTTCAAGCAGACAATAACAAATAATAGCAAATACTGTTGTTGGTTCCTTTAACTCCATTCTGTCCCTTCTCTGACAGAAAGTACTCTGATTTTGAGGCTTCATCTTCCACCATAGGTTTGGGTGCCCAGGAAGAAGATGATCATTATCAATCTAAATTATGAGGGTATTTCCTTCCCCAGCAGTAAATTGTTTAGGACCTGCATGAGACCCATACGCTGGAATTAGGGAGAATCCTGCTGGGGGCCTTTGGAGTTAGTAAACCACTGAAGAAACCCACATAGGGTACAGGTCTCCTTTTTTATTCTGGACTTTGCTAAACTACATGGAGTTCTACTTAGAACTACAACAACTATCTTCAGCACAAAGCACAAGGCTGACATAAGAGGGTAGCCAGGTAAGAATTTCAAAGGTGTCTGTGACCCTGATGACAATAGTGGGTTTGTGAATAAGCCACTGAATTAACTACTACTGGGAATACCACCCAAACGCTGGATTTTAATTAAGTCTCAACCTAAAGGGTATCTGTTATTTGTAACATAGAGCATCTCTATTCAGAAAATAGTACTTCAAAAGAATTAATCAAATCCAGACTAAAAAAAAAAAATAACCTAATGAAAGAATCTGTGACAATATAGAGGTAACAGGCACCAGGTGATCAGTGGTAACAGACAGCAGGAGATCAAGAGAGAAGACAAAACTTGTGTTTTTGCAATTTGCCTATCAGGGACTTTTGTACGTAAATCTCTAGGATCTCCCTATATCCCAAAAGCCCTTCCCAAAATTATCTTCTGTTTACCAGGGAAGAAAATGTACTATGAAGAGAGGACTAAATTCAGAAAGAAGAAATAAAAGTTAGAGATCTAAGAATACCCCAGTTTGATGGATGGGTGACCATCAAATTAATACAGAAGTTAAGTAACTTTCAGAATGTATTCTAAGGAGTCTTATGTGAGATTTCACCTAGAAAAACAAAGCCTTTGTAGCAAAAAGGAATTTTAGGGGCTGGATAATAAAAGGTAAATCGTATATAATGCTAAAATGTTTACATATTTAAGTTTCTGTGTTCAGGAACAATTTACTAAAAGGCTGTTTTTTTTTTTTTTTTTTCCTTAGCTGCATGTGCTTAGTGCCATCTAGTGTTCAAAACATAAATTAGTATTAAATATCTACAGTTCTATTTCCAAATAACTTTTTTAAAAAAGCATATATAGACATCTTAAGTAAAATTTCTCGCTTACATTAACTTTGTGAGTATCCCTTACAAGTCTCATCCATAAGGGTACAAGCATAATCACTGAAATGAAGTTATTTATTGAGAAAATGAAAGTGTATTCATTTTGTTCACTAGCCAGATTGAAATGAACAAACTACAACAGACAAGCTCTGCACCCAGACCTGCAATGTGAAATTGTGCGTTGCTCTTGGTATAAAAGATCACTGACTGTGCAAAGTATTTTGTTCCCTGTTAACCCTAAACCATTTAAGGGACGGGAGATGTAACTACACACATAAACATTCACCTGTTTACCAAAATAAACCTATTAAACCAAGTGAAATATATTCATGTTGTATGTTTAACATCACTTTCTATTAAACTATCTCTCCAAATAGACTGTAAGCCCCTACAGGTAAGGATTCTTTTTGATTGGCACAGAGCAGGAATTGATGAATGAATATCCAAGTTGGTACAGGGACAGAAATAGGAACATTTACATTTACTAGCAAAGTTATGTGAATTATAACACCTACCCTAAGTATGAATGCATTATTAATAAAATACAGGGCCCTCCCTGGTGGTGCAATGTGTTAGGACACAGCACTATAAGCTAGCTGCAGTCGCTTCAGTGCGAATTCAATCCTAGGCTCTGGAGGTGACCCACATGTCATGGCAGACCTCTTCTGACCCGCCTGCTGCTCCCCTCAATAGTGTACTTCATAGATCTGCCTGTTCTGCTCCCCATTCTGTCTCTGGTGAATCCTGTCACTGGCCCTGCACCTCTGGCTTGTACCCCAGTTCTGTATGCATAAATAAATTAAGCTTAAAAAATATATTACATATAATATATATTAAGAAAATATGTACATTATACACAATATAACAAAATACACATTAATAAAATAATAAAAATGTATTACTATTCATGTCCTATCAAAATTGTCCTGTTAAAAGTAGTTTCTAGGGATGATACTAAATGAAGTAAGTCGGGAGAAAGAAAAATACAGAAATCAAAGGGTCAGATAAAACCAAATTTAAAAACTAAGCCTTGAAAGCTGACTATAGAACTGAGAAATCTAGAGGTGAAGGGTAAGGGAGGGGAGAGACCACAGTGAGGCGGGAGTACAATGGACTCTGGTGGTGCACTTGCTTGCTGTGCTTGCTGTGGTGCACTATGGTAATTATGCATGAATGGGGTGGGGGGTCCCATACTCCCAAAATACAATGACATAAAGCAACATGACTATAAAAAAAAAAAAAGAATGATAAGTACCCTTCTATCTTTTAACCCCAAATGAAAATACGTTCAATAATATTATGATACTTGCTCACACTTCCTGGATATGACAGGGAAATTGTACCTAAGGTAGAAGGAAAAGAACATTCTTGTCTATCCTTAATTCACAGAGTAGCCTGTGTATTCACTTAACATCAAAAGGAATTTGATTCCACTGCCACTTTGAGTAACTCTTTTTCTTGCTCTCATATCCTTTGGTACTGATACTTTTTTTCTGCATCCAGATGGGACTAAAAGTAAATTTAGAAAGCAGCTGTTAGGAATAAAAATTTGGATCCCTATGTTAGAAATCTGGTTGATATGTTCATGGAAATGTAGCAAAGTGTGGTGATTGCCTGAATGGACAGAAAATAGCTTGCATGTAGCAAGAGGACTCAGGACTCAGGGACCTATCGCAGTGAAAACAAACAAGTGCAACTTGAGTATTTGGTGGCGCAGCGGGTTAAAGCACTGCACTAAGAAGCTGAAACCACTTCCGCATGAGCTCGATTCCCGTCTGCCCCGGAGGTGACCACATGGCGTGGCAGACCTCTCCTGACCCGCCCGCTGCTCCCCTCAGCAGTGTACTTCGTCGATCTGCCTGTTCTGCTCCCCACTCTGTCTCTGGTGAAGCCTCCACTGCCCCTGCAACTCTGGCTGTACCCCAGTTCTGTATGAATAAATAAATAAATCTTTTAAAAAAAAATACTTAGTTAACAGACAATTGTGCCACATCACTATTACTATCATCACGGAATAAGTAAGCATTTTTTTTTGAGCCATATCACTACTGTCCATATGATTTGTGGCTAATGGTTTCAAAGGTGCTATTTGAGGAGATGAGAGGTGCTGGGACACTAAAATCTCTACCACCAGTCTCCAAGGTCTTTTGTTTCTACTGTAAGACATAATTTAGAAGAGATAGAAATCTTTACATATTATGTAAGATAAAAGCATGTTAGTGAACAGCTAAAATTGTTTAAGTGCACTTGGACAATATAATTTTTGAAATAATTATTTGTAGTATGTATGATTTATGTATATTTATATATATTATTTATATAATGTTTACTGAAGTATTTGGGGGTGAATGAGTGGGATAATACATAAATATTTTTTAAAGGAAGCTTTTTTTTTTTAAGATTTATTTATTTGTGCATACAGAACTGGGGTACAGGCCAGAGGCTTAGGGGTGGCAAAAGGCTTCACCAGAGTGGGCAGAACAGGCAGATCGACGAAGTACACTGCTGGGCGGAACAGCGGGCGGGTCAGGAGAGGTCTGCCGCGCCACGTGGTCACCTCCAGGGCAGGCGGGAATCGAACTTATGCAGAAGTGGCTTTAGCTTGTTAGTGCTGTGCTTTAACCCGCTGCACCACCAGGGAGGGCCCAATATTTTAAGTATGTTTGTAATATATTTAGCTTTCATTTATATTAGGCAAAAAGATGAAATTAAAATTTGATATTAAGCAGGTATCCTATTTATGATCCTTATAGGGTTTATTTCTATCTAACA